TAAGGTTGATTTCTGGCTTCTGCATACAAACATGCATGGACATTATTGGGCCCAAAAGGGGGGACCAACTTCGGGAAATGCACTCCACAGAGTCACTCACAGGTCACAAGTTCGATGCAAAAGCAAAAGGATTTTATTCCAACAAGTTGGGGTCGTTCCCTGGGAAAAGAATGACCCCAAGTTTCTAAATAAAACAGTTTTTATTCCTTTTTGGTCACTAGGCAGGAGTATGACAACATATTGATTGTCTGTAACACACATGAGTCATTTACTGATTGGTTGGGAACTGAACTTACAATTCTGCTCACCAGGCGTTTGGAATGTTATTTTGGTTTTTACATCTGCAAGGCCATGGGACAGCTAGTGGTTTTTCTGGGAACAGAGTGACTTGTACTTATTTTCAAAACTTGGGTGCTCTGGAGCAGGATAATCCATAACAATTTTTAGAAACCAGACAGTTGTTGAAGACAATTACTAGTTGGAAACTAGTAATAATAGCAATTTCCAGAGACCGGTCATCATGACCAACCATTTCATGTGTTCTTTTTCCCAGAGCTGTGTGTGTAGCCAGAGTGATTTTTAAATACATGCTGGTGGGTATCAGGCTGGGTTTGAGTTGGGGTCTTTGAACATCTGCATACATAGGTGCTCTGCATACATATTTACACCAAACACACCTGAACATACACACAACCCCTAGAGCAGTGGTTCTCAACCTGTGAACCACAGCCCCTTGGGGGTCAAACCACCATTTCACAGGGGCTGCCTAAGACCATTGGAAAACACAGAGATTTACATTCTGATTCATGACAGTAGCAAAATTATAGTTATGAAGTAGCAATGAAAATAATTTTATCATTGGAAGTTACCACAGCATGAGGAACTGCATTAAAGGGTAGCCACATTAGGACAATTGAGAACCACTCACCTAGAGGAAAGTGCTGCCACTATTAATTCACAAACAGGAGAACTCACAGACAAGCAGTTTAGAGGAATTGAGTACATTTCCTAAGACTAGACTCTTCTTAGACCATATCTTATGACTGGGGACTTCCCAGGACTGCCTGCCTGGGCTGCCTCCACACAGAATTGCTCACCGCAGTCACTTGAACAGTATCCTTGGTTGCCCTCCCTGTCTGCATGCTTGCCCTGTCCCAGCATTTTTGTAATATCTCCATGTTACCAGCAACCCTCCCTAAAGCCTGTCAGAAGCATTTTAGGGGCCACATCAAGGGCATTTGTGAGCTGCCTTTGCTCAATCCCAGGGTCATCACCTCCCCTGGCATTCCTAAACCATGTCACAAACACTTTGTTGTCCCATTGCAAAAGCAGTGGTCTTTTCTTTCTTTTCTTTTCCTTTCCTTTCCTCCTTTCTTCCCCTCCCCTCTTCCTCCCTCCCTTCTCCTGTAGTCTTAGGCTGGCATAAAACTTTCTATGTAACTGATGATGACCTCGAACTCCTGATCCTTCTGCCATCCCTAGGCTTGTGGTCCAGGTTCTATGGGGGGGGGCAGCAAGCAGCACCCTTCCATGCCCTCTGCTTCAGTTCTTGCCTCCAGGTTTCTTCCTTGAGCTCCTTCCCTGATGTCCCTCAGTGACGGTGAGTGGCCTGAGACTTGTAAGTGGAAATAAACCTTTTCCTCCCCAAATTGCTTTTGGTCTTGATCCTTTATCACAACAACAAAAACCTAACTAAACAGAGGTTAAATTGTGTTTCCTCTCCGACAGCACTTCACATTTGCAGCTTTGTTTTGCATGTGTGTTTGAGGGTGCACTTGTGTGTATTTTTGTAATAACAACTTGTTTTAGACACCAGTGCCTTTGAACCAAGCTTTAAAAGAGAACACTGGCATCATAAATGGTTATGTAGGCTAGGTAGTCATTCTGTCACCACTATGGCAGCTGCTCTCTTTGGAGTGTATTCCCCAAAGAACATACTTTCTTTGTGAAATAAGGAAGAAGAAACAAGATTGAGGAGGTGGGGAGACTGGGGGTCATAAAAAGAAAAAGAAAGGAGGGAAGTGGGGAGGGACTGAGGCAGAGAGGGAGACAGGGAGGGAGAGAAGGAGGGAGGGAGGCAGGCAGGCAGGAAGGCAAAGCAGTTTCCGCAGGTACATTCTGGACAAAGATGGAGAACTAGGTACATCAGCAAAAAGCAAAGGAAAGCAGCCTGTGAGTCCTATAGATGGGGGCACTTAGCAAGTCCAGCACAGGAGGCATGGAGCGCAGCCCTACGAGGAACGCATTGATTGTTTGATTTCAGACAAACAACTTTACTAAGCTTCAGGTATGAGAACACCTGGTCTGCTGAATCAGTAGAGTACAGTAGAGTACCCTAAAGAGGCCACAGAATATCTGGTGTGCAGCCAAGGCTCCTCAATCAGAAACTCCTGGGACTTAACACAACAGCCAGCTCGGTCGCTTGGACTAGAATGCAACTTGTGCTTGCCTGTAAACACCAGGCTTGGAACAGAGAATGGCTAAGAAAACAGCTTCGAATTTCTCAAGTTCTCCAGATTAGTTTACAGGTTGGAGAGGTAATAGGCTGGAACTAACTTGGAGCCTTCTCCTTATTGACTACTTTTAATAGAGCCAGCAGGTGCTATATAGGCTTCTGAGGGAGAAAAGTCATTAGTGGACTTACCCAACAGTAGACCACACATGCTAACGTACTGACCTGACAGGCACTGGTGCAATAGTAGTATGACTATTATAAGAATAACCAAATGCTTTCTAGTTTGATTTGAGGCTTGCTCCAAAGGAGGGAATTCTTATCTAGTACTATAAACCTGGTCCAAAGCCCATGACTAAGCATGTCATCGGCTGTAGGGGGAGGCCTGCTACTGTTGTGTTGCCAAGTGGACATGCTGTCAAACTGCTTTCTAAACGTTTGTGTCTATAAACATAGATTAATGCTGCTGCCAACCTTGATCAGGGAAGCATACAGTGGACAGACATCTATATAGAGATTCAAGTGCAACAAGGTCCTGAAAATAAATGACCGTTAAGTGCTTAGCCCTCAATGGGACGTTTATGTAGTTCATCATAGAAAGGGGAGCAGAAAAGACCTAAGAACCAGAGAATGGAGAGGAGTTCTGTTGAAGTTCCATCAGCAAGGTATGATGGCCATTGAAGTCACGAATTTATTGCAGCTGTGGTTATCTGCACAAGACTGGCACAAGATTAAGCCAGTCAATGTTCCATCATGGATGGGAGAGGGGCTCCTGAGGATCCCCACTCCTAGCCAATTGATGGCTGCTGGGGCTACAGGGGATCATTTTTCTTCAGAGATGGAAACACTGGGAAAGGTTTTCTATAGCTACACCACTTTCCTGTAAAGGATTGAAGCTTTCTTTTTTAAGTCTGGAAAATCCAAACTAAACCTGATCCAAATCAACAGATGATGAATTGAAGATTGTGTAGTAAAGATCTTAGTTAGCTAAGGCTATTGATTCATGCAGAGAAATCAATTGGTCTAAAAGACTGTGGAGCGGGTCATTAATATAAAATACACCAGCATTATCTATTACTGGAGCTTGCAAATGTCTGAATTCTATAGCAATGCCAACAGAACTTAAATGCAAGCCACATAGGGATGTTTAAACATTCTAGTAGACATAAGTTTTACAAAGTAAGGCAGAGCTGGTGAGGTGACTCAGTGGGTAAGAGCCCTGGCCACCAAGTCTGACCACTGAGTTTGATTCCCAGGACCCAGATGATCAAAAGAGACAACTGACTCCCACAAGTTGTTCTCTGGCACTCAAAAGTACACACACACACACACACACACACACACACACACACACACACACACACACAAAATGTGGCATGAGCACATGACCTCTCAAATCAACGTGATATATAAATGCAAAAAAAACCCTACAGAATCTTCTCATACTTAAAACAAATAAATAAAAGTAGAAAGTAGTAAATTAATTTTCATAGTATGTTTTACTTAGCATTAAAATATCTGACATATTGGCAAATCAATATTAAAAGTAGATAATGAGGCATTTAACTTTTTCTTGTAATGTCTTCAAAACTTCAATAGATGGTATACTTTTCTTAAAAATATCTGATCTAATTGTAGATTTTGCAAATTCTACAGTTGTAAAACTAGACCAACAAGCCCATATTTCACCATTTTCTGCTGACACTAGGTTAGGTGAGGCATATTCTCTTCATGCCAAGCTTTCCAGCTGTCTCTCACTGCACTGGCCAGCAGGGCTGCAACGGGGACATGACCCTCAAAGGACCTGGAATGGAGGGACAAGAGACACAAGAAATGGACAGCAAGGCAGGATTTCTGATTCAGCTGCAAAATTTTATTTTTCTCAGAGACCTTATATAGTGGTTGAAACAGGAAGCTTGGCGGGGTGGGAATTCAGCAGGGAGAGGCCTTTACCTGGTAACCAAACTGCAGACTGTCCCTGTGCATGAGTCCTTAAAGGCAAGCAGAGACTGCAGGTGTACATTAAGCAAGATGCTAGCTGGGTCAGGGAGTGTGCGGAAGAAAGTATTGCTAAGTAATCTGACCATGGAATGTTTCTTTCTTTACTATTAGCTAGTTCTGTAAGCCCAGGTGCTATTTATCAGGAAGTTGGGAGGGAAGGATTGATTGGGACTGAAGGTAGCCATTCTTCCACCATAATGGGCTACTTCAAAACATGCTGGCAATTTTTTACAAGAGGTCCCATACAACAATGATCGCTCCTGGCATCTCACTGAGTGGGTATATATTGTCCATGCTGTTGCTCCTAGGTGGACTTGATGGTGGGTAAAACTGTCAATGCTAGGAGTGTGGGGAGAGCATTTGTTTAGTCCTTGCAACAAAAGAAAAAGAAAAGAAAGAAAGAAAAAGAGATTAATTTTAAGAGTTTTGTTTTGCTTTTTATTTCTTTTTTTCTTTTCTTTTCTTTTTTTTTTTTTTTGCCTCAGACTAATCAATTTCTTTGGAAAAGCTCTTTCTTTGATCAGGAACATTCTGTAAGGGTGTGTGTTGGTGGGTGAGAGGTGGGGCATGCTGACCCTGCAAGTCACTAAAATCAAAATGCAAGCTGCTGTTGGCTGTGGCTGCCTTGTCCCCTCAGGGATCAAGCGTCAGGGTTTAGCTTCATGCTTTCAGGTTTTGCCAGAGACACTAGCTCTGATAGAGAACTCTGTGGAAAGACTTTCCAACTGAATGGTTTGCTGTGACTTTCGGCAGAAGCCTGGGTGAGGGTGGCTGAGTCAAATCCCGTGAAGACAGGAAGCCTAACAACCCCTCTGGCTTCCAGCTAGGGCCTAGGTCCACTTGAGTCTGTGGACTCCACCTTCTTATACCCTCCAGGCCTTGGAATGGCTGAGCCTGGTGGAGCCTCGGATTCTCTTAGTCTTTTTGTTGGTGTTTCGATTCGGGGCGGGAAGGGACAGCTCTAGCTCCCTTTTCTTGAGGTCCCAATCTGGGTCCCGCTCATCAGGCAACAGCCCTCTCTGGCGGTGGTCCCGGCATTCCGCTTCTGCCCTACAAAGAGAACAGCCTGTGAGGCTGGGAGGGGAACCGAGCCAGCATTGGCACTGACCTTGCTTCCTGGGCATTACACACGGCACAGGCCATTTGCTGTCTATCTGGGAAGGAAGGAGGCCAAGTTCACACACATCCAAGTGCACACTTCAGATTCTAAAGTGTGCTTCTAAAGTTCAGAATGTCTCAGATCCTAGAGGAACTACCGGAAGATGGAAAAGGCTGGTATGGCCTGGAGGTATGTGGTTAATCTCCAACTCAAAGATGGCTGGAAGGAGGGGCTGCTCACATTTCCAGAACAGTCTTCATGTAATTGGGAAGCTGTTCCTTTAAATTCTATTCTCTTGCCTGTGACAGCAACCCATGTTTGCTGTTTAAAAATTTAAAGTATAGCCTGGCACCTGTGCAATTCCAGAACCCAGGACAATGAGTCAGGAGGATTGCTACAGGTTCAAGGCCAGCCTCTGCTGTATAGTGAGTTCCAGGCCAGACAGAGTGAAACCCTGTTTCAATCAATCAATCAATCAATCAATCAATCAATCAATCAATCAGTCAGTCATTCAAGTTAATTGGAAGTGTAAGAATATGCTAATTGCATACATTGTATGTACAGGTAAATTAAGTAAAGACGGCCTAGGAGCAAACCTCCTCACAATGTAAACTGTGAAGAAAGCCCAGTGGTCTTGTCCAGAGTCACCAAGCCTCTAATTCACTACAGGGTACCCACGGCCACTTCCTCTATTGTGTGAGCAACTTTGCTAGCCCATCAATCCCATGATGAGTACAGCATTGGCTTCTTGCCCAACTATGCTCCTCCACCCACCCACTTTAGCCTGCAAGTCTCCTGGCTGTGACCACCCAGTCAGCCAGGGCATTTACCCCTCTGTACTCCCGACACCTCTTTGCATGCACACTGGACCTATGCACATTTCCAACATGGTGGCTACACCCAGACCATCAGGTTCTCCCTCTCTTCCCTCGGCCAGGTCTTCACCCAGAATTCTTTCCTCTGACTCCTCAGACAGCAGAAAGGGAGTAAGTTTCTGGTGGAAAATGAAGTAAGTTTCTGGTGGGAAATGATAAGTCGCTGTGATTCACATGTGATGCAGTTGACATTTGTTTTCGTCTGCTCAGCATTGCCTGCCCGATTTCCCTGGAAGTGCCCACTCCATTTTAGTCATGGTGGGCCAAATGTCGTGTGGATCTGGTCACTGAGGAGGGGCCAAGATGGCTCAGGAAAAAATCCATAGAAAGTTGAGGATAAGACTTTGGAATTCTAGCATTTGAGAAGCACACAAGGTTGCGTACTGAGGAACTGGGCATGATGGTACCTGGCTGTAATCCTAGCTCTTGGGAAAGGGAGACCAAGCTGGGTTATAGAGCAAGGCCCTGACCAAAAAAAAAAAAAAAAGGAGCTGAGAGGAGGGAAGAAGGAGGAAGAGAAATTCATAAACAATTAACTGTGAATGGAGAAGGGAGCATTGTGTCAGCAGCAGGAACTCTGTGATTATTTGTAGGAGAAATGTGCCAGTACAAAGATGGGGAAGCCTTCCAAATGGTGAATGAGGGCTGAGCAAGGAGAACCAGTTCTGTAGATTAACTCCCATGTAGTTTAGGAGCCTAGAGGAGAAGAGACGCAGCGGGAGGGGCCTCTGGCTCTGTTCATTTGTATAATAAGGTCTACTTGACTGTGTTCACAGACCAAAAAGAAGTGAGGAGGTAGTGAACAGAAACAACTAACATTACAGGAGAAAGCAAAGACAAAAGGAAGAAATGACACAGGGGTAGCTTTCCTGTTCTCAACCTGTGGGTTGTGACCCCTTTAGAGGTCGAACAACCCTTCACAGGGGTTCAGAAAACACAGATATTTACATTTCAATCCATAACAGTAGCAATGAAAGTAGTTATGAAGCAGACCAGGCCGGTCTTAAACTCACAGAGATCCACCTGCCTCTGCCTCCAGAGTGTGGGATTAAAGGTGTGCACCACCACTGCCTGGCATGAAAACAATGTTATGGTTGGGGGTCACAACAATATGAGGACCTGAATTAAAGGACTGAAGCATTAGGAGGGTTGAGAACCACGGATGGAGGAACACCAGACACAGAAATGATGGGAAGGCAAGGGCGAATTGATGTGGGGAATTGTAAGAACTGGAAGTATGGGGGCATTGGGGGGGGGTGTTGACAAGCTTGTTCCTTCATGACTTCTCCTAGAAAGTGTGTCTTCTGAGAGACAGTTGCATTGTGGAGGTACTAGGGATTATCAAAGACCAGAAGAGTTAACAAGTAGACATCTCTAGTGCCCTGCTGATACTCATCTACTGATTTCTGGGCCTCTCTGTAGTCTGTCAAGCCCAGGAGCAGAGACTGTGGAAATGTCAGGTCCAAAAGAAACTGGGACAAATGGCTAACTGTGGTGCCTATTAGCACACCAAAGGCCATGTTGGCCTCCAGGTTCTCTAACATGACACATACCTGTTACAAAGTCCATGCTGGCATACTGGAGCACCTCAGCTACTTCTCACCCCACCTCCTACCCTAAGCTTCTCCAGCTCAGGACATCCCTTTGCCTTTGCCCAGCTTCTTGTTCCTATGTAACCCTGCAATTTCAGCCATGCTATCTCTTGGCTCACTCTTGGCTCTTGGTCCTCTTGGCCCTCTCTCCTTTTTACTGTCTCTCTGTTCTCTTCCTCTCTTGCTTTCCTCTCATGGTTCAGTCCATTTTCCTGGCCATGTTTCTTTACCACTTTCTTTCCTTGCAACTGACAGGCCTCTGGCAGTCCTCTCCATCATATCTAGAATAAAAACCTTCTCTTCAACCATCCCTTTGAGCAGTCATGTCCTCACTTTATAGATCTGGTGTTGAAACCTACTTTATAAAAGAGATTTATCCACAGCTGGTGATGCTAGGTCATAAGGTACAGATAGCAAAGGGTCTAAAAGTTATGAATAGAGGCAAAGAAGGAATGGGATACCGTGGTATCCTGATAGCAGGAAAACTAGTAGCCTGCAGATGGGTGATAGCTTGGGTGTTGTGGAATATAATTTTAAGATGTGTGACATGTGTTTATGCTGTGAAACATTTGTTTTAATTATGCAAAGATGTGTTGCATTCTTTTATGTTGCATTTGTTTAACTCTGTGAAACTGTATTACTTTGCCTGTCTAAAACACCTGATTGATCTAACAAAGCACTGAACAACCAATAGCAATGCAGGAGAAAGGATAGGTAGGGCTGGTAGGCAGAGAGAAGAAATAGAATGAGAAAAAGAGAGAGCAAGAAAAGGAGGAGAGTAGGACATCAGCAGTCAGCCACCCAGCTGCACAGAGTAAGAAGTAAAGAAGGTATACAGAATATAGACAAATAAAAGCAAAGAGGCAAAAGATAGAAGGAATATTTTAAGTTAAGAAAAGCTGGCAACACTCATCCAGCAGCTGGTGGAAGTAGAAGCAGGCATCCACAACTAATCATTGATCTGAACTGGAATCCAGTTGCAGAAAAGGACTAGTGAAGAGCAAAGGGGTCCAGACCAGGCTGGTGAAACCCACAGAAACAGCTGACATGAACAAGTGGGGAGCTCTTGGTTCCCAGGCTGAGAGCTGGGATACCAGCATGGGACTGATCCAGACCCCAGGAACATGGGTTTCAGTGAGGAAACCTCGGAAAGCTATGGGACCTCCTGTAGTAGTTCAGTACTTATCCCTAGCACAGGTGTGGACTTTGGGAGCCCATTCCACATAGAGGAATACTCCCTGAGCCAAGACACAAGGGGTGGGCCCAGGCCCTATCCCAAAGGATACAATAGACTCAGATGACACCCTATGGAAGGCCTCATCACCCAGGGGGAACAGAAAGGATATGTGATAGGTAGGGTTTTAGTTGGGGGAGGGGAGTAGGGGAGGATGGGAGAGAGAGGGAGCTGGGATTGTCATGTAAAACAATCTTGTTTCTAATTCAAAAATAATCTGCAAAAATCCAGAACAAGATTAAAAAAAAAAAAAAAGAACAAGAAAAGCTGGCAAGAAATAAGCCAAGCTAAGGCTGGGCACTCATAAATAAGACTAGAACTCCATGTATGTTTTATTTGGGAGCTGCGGGGTGGGGGGGCAGAGCAAAATAAAAAAAAAGCCAAGAGTAAAAAACAACCAACAGTGGTTGGGAAAGAAAAACGTTGAACGACAAGAGGTTTCAGATTCAGATTCCTGCACGAGGACCTGAGAAGCAATAAGAAGAAGGCAATCATGTCACACAGCAGGCTGTTAGATCTGTAGAAAACTCAGTGCAGAGTGCCTGCTGGTGCTCAGGGACACGGTACACAGAGCTCCTGAGTGTGACACCTAGATGACACCTAGAACTGGGGAGAAGAGTTTGTGACCAGGACTTCAAGCTTGCCTCTTTCCATCTCCTCATTTGTGGTATTTTACATGATGACACTATTTTTAAGGTAGGGTCTTCTTGAGGTACTTCTATGGATTGTCAATCTAATCCCAGGCAACAGATATATTAGTTTAACTTTTGGGGCATGGCAGTGTCAGGGATCAAACCCAGGGCCTCACCCAGGCAGAGGGAGCACTCTACTACTAAGCTACAACCCCTAGCCCTTATTTTACTTTCTCTTTTGAGACAGAGTCTCACTAATTTGTCCAGACTGACCTTGAACTAACTCTGTAGCCCAGGCAGGCCTTACATTTACAATTTCCTCTGTTCAACCACTTGAGCCGCTGGTGCTGTAGGCCTAAGCCACTGTCCTGCCCTAGTTTAACCTTTTGACAATAACTGTATTTGAAGCTTAAAGGAGACAGGCCACCATACTGTCCTCTACCATAAACTGGCATTACTTCTAGGTTTTCTGTCTATCTCATCTTCCTTTCCAAGCAGCCACGTTCAGACCAGGCTATTCACCCTTGGCACCTGAATCACTTGTGGACCCAAATTATAGATTTATATCATATACTCATTTCCATTCCTCTCAAGGCAATAACTACTGAGAACAGAATTAGCACTAAATTATATCCAACTGCTTAACTTAGAAAATAAATGAATGAATGCTTGACAATTCCTAGGTGGGCTAGGGGAGTCATATGTGAATGTAGACATGTCTTCAAAAACAGACCTAAGCAGAAGCAGAGATTCACAGCTAAGTACTGAGCCAAACTCCTAGAACCAGTTGCAGAGAGGGAGGAGTGATGAGCAAAAGAGTCAAGACCGTGCTGGGGAAACCCACAGAAACAGCTGACCTGAGCAAGTAGGAGCTCACAGACCCCAATCTGAAATCTGGGGAAATAGCATTAACACCAATCCAAGCCCCCTGAATGGGGGGGGCAGTCTATGGGGCCTCTGGCAGGGGAACCAGTATTTATCCCTAGTGCATGAATGGGCTTTGGGAGCCCATTCTCTATGGAGGGATGCCCTCTCAGCCTAGATACACAAATGATGTGTCAGCCTTTGATGATCCCCCATGGGAGGACTCACCCTCCCTGAGGAGAAGATGGGGGTGGGATGGGGGGATGGGGGCAATGGAAGGATGGGAGGGAGAGGGAACTAGGATTGGTATGTAAAATAAGATTGTTTTAATTTAAATAAAAATTAATAAAAAAAACAGAAGTCTAAGCTAGGTGGTGATAGTGGTGGTGGCGCAGACCTTTAATCCCAGCACTCTGGAAGCAGAAGCAGGTAGATCTCTGTGAGTTCAAGGCCAGCCTAGTCTACAAAGCTACACAGAGAAACCAAAACCAAACCAAAACAAAACCAGAAGTCTAGTTCAGTTGCCTCAGCAGTGTGTGTGTGTGTAATGTGTAAATGCTTGCATGTTTACAAGTTTATGCACACATGTGTGCATATGGAGGCCGGGAGACAATGTAGTGTCTGTCTCCTTGAGTTTTGAGATAGGATTTCTCACTGAACTCACAGCTTGCAGCTCTCCCCAGACTGCTTGTCCCTCTGGGTTCCTTTGGTCTCTGATCCCTCACACTGGAGCTACCGATGTGGCCATCTTGACTAGTTTTACGTGGGTTCTGAGGTCCTCTTGTGTGTGTGGCAAGTACCCCACTGACTGAATTGTCTCCGTGGCCCCTGCTGCACATGAAGAAACTGAGGGTCGAGTGGCTGGTTTAACTCCTACGGCATCACACGGCTAGCTTGGGTACCTTTAACTCACTCCTACAGAATCACACAGCTAGTTCAGGTACCTTTCAGAAACCTAGGGTGACCATGAAGCTGAGGCCATGTCCCATCCTCAAACTTAGCGTCCAGCTCTTATTAGAGATACTTTTGTAGGATCTAAAGTGAAAGATCAATGTACTTTTCACCCTCAAGTTGTCATCCTAATAAAAAATCTTAAAATCTATTTTAAAACTTAATATAGGGACTAGAAAGATGGCCTGGGTTTTTTGTTGTTGTTGTTGTTTGTTTGTTTGTTTCGTTTTTTTTTTTTTTTTTTTTTTTTTTTTCCCAGGTTCCTAGACCACATGGCTGCTTACAGCCATTGGTAGCTCCAATTCCAGGGGATCTGCCCCCCTCTTTTGGCTTCATATAGTACATGTACATACATACAGGTAAAGCACTCATAAACGTAAAATAAAAGTAAATAATCATCTAAAAATTTATGACACCAATCAATTGGTTCAGTGATTCTCAACCAGTAGATCATGACTCATTTGGGGTGACATATCAGATACCCTGCATATCAGATATTTATATTATAGTTCATAGCAGCAGCAAAATTATAGTTATGAAGTAGCAATGAAATAACTACTGATGTGGGGGTCATAACCACATGAGGGACTGTACTAAACGGTGGAAGCATTAGGAAGGTTGAGAACCACTGGGTCAGATCTCTTTGTTTCATTTTCATTCACCTGAGATTGGCCAGTTGACAAAAACCCCGATTATAGGCTTCTTTCTATGGCTGGGAAAACACATAACTTACTTCTCCAGGAAATCCACACAGGCTTTCTGTCCGTAGATCTGTGCAATCCTCTTGGGTGTATCTCCAAAGAAGTCAGCAGCATCGATGGCAGCGTGCAGCGCATGGAGAGTTTTAAGTACATTCAGATGGCCTGACTCAGCAGCAAAGTGAGCTGCCGTCCAGCCCACATCAGTCACCAAGCAGGGTCTGGCTCCATATTGAATCAAGAGATGTATCACCTCCATTTGCCCTTAGATATACCAGGGAGAAAGAATATGAAGCTAAGATAAAAATTTCTGTTGCGGAATATTACTTTAACTATGTAAAGGTGTGTGGCTTTTGTTTAATTATGTAAAGATGTGTTGCTGTTTCACCATGCCTGCCTAATATACCTGATTGGTCTAATAAAAAAATAAAAAACAAAACTTAATGGCCAATAGCTAGGCCAGGCAGACAAGGACCAGGACAATCAGAATGAAAGAAAGGTAAAAAGCCCCAAGGCAAAACATAGATGAAGAGAAACAAGTTAAATTAAGTAATAAGAGCAAGTGGGACAAACATAAGCTAAGTCCGAGCATTCATAACTAATAAGAGCTCTCCATGTTTATGATTTGGGAGCTGGTTGGTGGCCCAAAAGAAAGCCGTCTACAAATGTCCTCAGTACCCTGAGACTAGGAGCACGGTATAGACACAGGAGGAGATTGGCCTTTGAGGTACCTCTCTTGTTATCCTCATTCCCCTCCCTTGTCATTCTTTTTTCTGAGAGGCCGTTCCCCATCCTCCTTCCATGGAGACGTGAGCACTCTAAGAGCTTCCTGCATTCTTTTTAGAGGAGTCCTCCTTTCTGTCTACTGTCCCAGGTCTTTCTCAAGTCCTTCCCATCTCCACACTGGCAGTTTCACTGCTTCTACATCTGCAATAGATTCTTAGTTTACTTTAATAATTTATTTTGTAGAACTTGGGATTGAAGCTAGGGCCACACATGTTCTCTGCAAGGTCTCTACCGCTGTCTTATAGTCTTTAGAACTCTCCTTACTTTTTATTTTGAGAGAGGGTCTAGTTAAGTTGCTAAGACTGGCCTTGAACTTATTCTGTACCCCAAAGAGGTCTAGAATGTTCTGTTCCATTCACAAATAGCCAAAAATTGGAAACAACCTAGATGTCCCTTGGCAGGAGACTCGATAAAGGAAATGTGGTACATTTAAACAATGGAATATTACTCAGTTGTTAAAAAAAAATGACACCTTGAAACTTTCAGGCAAATGGATAGAACTAGAAAAAAAAATCATCCTGAGTGAGATGTCACAGATCCACAAAGATGAATATGGTATGTATTCACTTATATGTGACTATCAATTGTGAAGTTGGTGATAACTGAGCTAAAGTCCATAAAACCACAGAGGCTAGCAATAGATATATCTCATTAGGAAAGAGAAATAGATTGTAGTTATGGATGGATATGGGGGAAGAGGAGAGGGGATTGTGGGAGGAATACAGGGAGAGACAGCTAAAATTAAGAGGAATTTAAGGGGTAGTACGGTATCAGTGTCTTAGTTTGGATTTTATTGTTTTGAAAAGACACCATGACCACAGCAACTGTTACAAAGGAAAACATTTAATTGGGTCTGGCTTACAGGTCAGAGCTTTCGTCCGTTATCGTCTGGGTGGGAAGTGTGACACCGTGCAAGCAGACATTGGTGCTAGAAAAGGGGCTGAGCGTTCTACATCTAGATCCACGTTCAGCAGGGAATGACGGGGCCATTAGGCCATTGAGCATCTGAGACCTCAAAGCCCACCCTCTGTAACCCACTTCCTCCAACAAAGCTACACCTATTCCAGCAAAGTGGCACTCCCGATGGGCCTATGGGATCATTTTTATTCAAACTACCACATATAGAACCTAATACAGTAGAAACTTCCTAAAATATATACATCTACGAAGGTGATCTAAATGAAATTGCCAAATAATGGCACCCCCCACCCAAAGTTTGAACTGGCCATCTCTTGTCACCAAACAAAGCTTCCAGTACCTGTATTGGGCTAACCTAATTGAGTTGTTGCTCAAAGGGGCCCCACAAGGAATTCCCCGAACAATCCAGGCTGTTACCGAGACTATAGGTTGCACTCCACAAACTGCCAGCAAGGCCCCTTTGCTAAAAATAACACCTATAAAACTCATTGAAGATGGAATTGTTGAGCCAGTGCCTACACAGCTTTCACCACTATGTTCCAGGGTCTTTGGTACAGGAAGGTACTCTGTGCTCTCAAAAGAAAAATGTGAATACTAAGCCAGTCACAACCCCTTTATCTGCAATGGTGTCTTATCTGAAAGATATGCTAAGGCAAGGGTAGCACAAAGCTTCTGGAAGTAAGCAAACAACATCTGATTTGACTTAAAGCCCACTCCATGAGATGGAACACTTACCAGACACTGCTTGGGTGATCAAAAAACTGAGACTTAAGGTAATAGTTAACAACTGTCACTTATACCCGCTGGGAGAGACAAAAATCTGTTTCCTCCAAAAGCACCACAATGGGTATATCAACCCCTCCAGGACAGGCCTCTGTTCAGGAGTAGAACAACATATAAGGGACTCCACAGTTTTTGTGTGTGCTTTTATTTGACTACAGTTTTGTGGGTTTTTTCAGGGTGCAGTTTTATTTGTTTTTGGGGGGGCATTCTGTTGTATTTGTTTGTTTGTTTGTTTGAAACAGGGTTTCTCTATGTAGCCCTGGCTCTCCTGTAACTCACTCTATAGACCAGGCTGGCCTTGAACTCAGAGATCCCTTTGCCTTTTCAGCATTACTGTCCTCATTATATAGAAGATGAGTGCCCAACGTGTTAAATAACATGACCAAGGTGCTATTGCTGGTAAGGTTTGATGCCAGGGTTGAAATGTTCCATCTAGAACTAAAGAAATGTCCCTTCCACTCTGACACAGACTGATGGTCTCATGAAGGTAGACTAGGAGGAAAGGGCTGCAGAGTGTCTACTCACCTCTGATTGCAGCCCAGTGAAGTGGTGTCCTGTCATTCCAGTCCACATCCTTGTAGTTTGGGTCACAGATACCTTTCTTCAAAATCTTCTTCACTGAATTGCAGTCCCCCGCCGCCACAGCCTGGTGGAGCTTTGTCATGTCTGCCATTTTTGACAATTCCATGACAGAATCTGCCTGGGATATCGGCCATTTAGGAGATTCCAAGCAACCTTTCTCTCCTAGCAAGGGCCCCCTAGGTTTCTGCATCAGTAACTTGCTTTCCCGTGTTGTAGATTTGCATCTAAACATCTCTCTCTCTCTCTCTCTCTCTCTCTCTCTCTCTCTCT